TCCATCGGGAAAACAACTTTTTTACACCTAATTGTTCATGCAAGATTATTTGTATTTGACTCATGCCAATGTCTAAAGTTGCCTGAATTTCGCGGTATGTCACATGTCGATCTTCCTCAATCAGCTTACGCACAGCATCAACGTTTTCTTGGGTGACTGCAGTTTTTGGACGACCTTGACGGGAATCATCACTGAGCTTGACACGTCCACGTTGAAACTCAGCAAACCAGCGATAAATTGTGGTTTTGGATGGGGCTTCATCACCAAATGCAGAAATCATCCGGTCAACACACTGTTTTTGTGTTAAACCACTTCGAAAGTCATAATAAATCATCGCTCTTGAATTTTCTCGAGTCAATTCCATTTTCTCAATGACTAAACAAGTTTGACAAAACCTCTTGACAAAACCGAGAATCTTTTTTTAAATAAATAAATGGTATTCGATTTTTAAAGGAGTTTTCAATTAGAAAGATTTTAATATGACAGGAACAGTGGAAATATTCCGTTCCCGATACTTTTAGTGCAGCCCTCGTACTATTTAATGCAACATGGACAATGTATCGTTCAATCAATTAAGTATTATATAAAAGAACGAGCAATGGATGCGTCAATTTCTTGTATATACCACGCGTTGAATCATCATAGTACTAAAATACATAAATCTGTTTGATGTACAATGAATATTGCAATTTCAACCTTGGATCCCACAATCAACACGCATAGTCCTGTCTGTCATAACACCAACGACCACAGACAGTACTAGTAAATTCAATTTTAATTCTTGTTCAGTATCTTTATTAAAAAACATTTCTTTGGAGTACATCATATGTATGTACGTAATGTTGTTTAAAAGAAACAAATGAAAGCGATACGGAACGGCATTCGATTTTATTTTTGCATATTCTTTAGAGTGTTTATAATTAACTTAAAAATTTAGTTTAAATTAAGCTAAAGTTTCTCTTCTAGATATTCTAATTTGATGACCTCTGATTGGAAATAGAAGCATTTCAATCTTAAGCGGCCCAAGTTCGTCTGCTTCGATTCTATAAGACCTGGAGATGGTTGAAACAATGCTCTTCATTATCAGCATGCCGAAGTTCCGTCCTGTTTTACCAAAAAAAAAATAGTCATAGGAGTTTTTTTTTTCGTTTGTTGTAGATTGGCAAACGGATTACAACTACTAGAGAACACATAAGGCTATCGAGGCGAACCTTGAACTATGTAATCAAAAACAGAATAGTAATAACGACTGACCTTCGAATTTGAACGAATATCTGCTTCACGACAGTTTATGGATTCTTACCACAAGGTCGGCCCATATGTCCATCCAGTTAATACATTATAATTTAAGAGCGCCAACTATAAGAGTGTAGGAAAGCAATAACAATAATGTTTTGATGCAGGATCTAATTTACCGATGCAGTTCCTGGATCCGTGGCTGAAAGGCAGGAACGCGGCCGGATGCCTATTCAAAGACCTTTCCGGTAGAAATCTGTCGGGATCGAACTCATCAGCATCGGGACCCCATACTGCTTTGGAACGGTGTATAGCAAAAGGCCCAACTACAGCCCCGATTCCAGCTGGCAATGTCACTCCACAGCGGGCTGGGAATTCAAAAATGCCGTGTCATATGTCTGGACAAGACTTCTTAATATTTTGTGGCACTTTAAAATGCATTGGTTAGTTTGCTTACGGAGGTACGTATCCTTGTGAACGTTACGGGCAATAATCGGGACCACGGTATAAAGCCTCATGCTTTCCTTCAGTACTCTCTCCAAATATTGCATTTTTGCTACGTCAACTTTGTCGGCGCCTCGTTTGGAGTCTCCGAAGATTGTTCTCTGCCTACAATTTTGAAAGGTTCACATAAAATGGATTTCATGATACTATTGAAAGCAACCAATCCCTTAAAACTATAATGCCTAAATATACTCACTCAAGATAAACCTTTTCTTGTACGTTCTGATGTATTCCTAGCAGTACAAGAGTGTACGCAATTACAAGCGCTGTAGTGTCGTTGCCGGCGATTGTAATCGAATCGATATGTTCTCGAAGCTGTTCGTCAGTAAATTCTATTTCACGACCGAAAAGCATATCAAGAACGGGTCGAACTTTCCCTGTCGGAAGTAAATGAATTTAAAAAAAAATAAAGTTTATGGAAATGCTTGCATTGTGTTGCGTAAGGGCCTCGGTATCCGCGTTAAGCCAAAAAAAAAGGTGTGTTGTCAGCTCCTTGACCCGTTGTATTATGAGCCTGGATTTAAAATAAAAAAAAGACGTTGCTAATTAATAAAACTCGTAAGATTAATAAACTTTAGAATTTTCATCCATTACCACCATTCTCAGTCTACTACAAATCACTGTAGGATTTGATTTTGTTATTAACTTTAAGTTTTTTTCCAATATTTTTTAAGGTAGCACACTTTATAGATCCAGGGCGTTGAACCTTAAAAAACTCCATTGTCATTTTATTAAAAAAAAATATCATCTTTCTTAGTAGACATCATGTCAATACCAAGTTTAAGCATTAGTTATATCTATTAATACAATAATGACAATCAATCGTATTTGTACATTATTATGTTAGTAACAGATAACGATTTGATATAATTAATAATAATTTACCCGTATATTGATCTGTACCGTCATTTTTCTTTCTTTCATATTCAAGTCTTCTTTTCTTAACAACCTGAAAGAGCTTTATTTTTTAATGCTTAAATTGGTAGACGAGGTCACGGCCAACCTTGTGTTAAGTAGTCACCGGACCAATAAACAACGCATATATCGCCACTCACCTTGAGACAAGAGTTCTAAATCTCAGTTTTTACAATAGAACGGCTGTTCCACCGTTCAAACCGAAACGTATTAGTACTACTTCACGGCAAAAATAGACAGGGCGGTGGTACCTACCCGTGCGGGCTTATAAGACGGCCTACTAACAGCTTAGTTGGTTATCTAAAGTATTGAATTGTTAAGTGAATTTGATTTAATGTGAGAAAAAATAAAGAATATCTTTATACTGTTGTTAACACATAGATATATATTTAGTATACTTTAATTTCACATGTAAATAGGTAATGATTCCAAAAGACTACACGCGATACGCAATAAATTTAAATTCAAGTACAACTAAATAAATTCTGTAGGCAGCCGCTTGGCTGTGCCCCTGGCATTGCTGACGTCCACGAGCGACAGTAACCACTATCAAGTGGACCGTATGCTCATCTCCCAACAAGGGCAATAAATAAAAACCTACGCTGAAACTCTAACATACCTCATCTGTGAACTTGTGAGTGAGATCTATGTTGTCCTTCTGCTGTTTACTATAAGATGTTAAATTAAAAATGCAGTCTGGTTGAAGCCATACTTTAAAGAAGCGCATGTTTAGTATTGTCATAACTGTATGCCGAGCTCGCAAGTAAGGAGTGTCGGGAGAACGCTGAACATCCATTCGTTCGCCCATCGCTGTTTCTGTGCAATACAATAAATAAATTGAATAAAAATAACCGAAAAATAATGCAATAATCGAAGAGTGACACAGAATAAGGCACCTTATCTTCTATCTATATATATAAGTGAATTGCTGTTCGTTAGTCTCGCTAAAACTCGAGAACGGCTGGACCGATTTGGCTAATTTTGGTCTTGAATTATTTGTGGAAGTCCAGGGAAGGTTTAAAAGGTAGATAAATATGAAAATGCTCGGAATTAAATAAAAATAACAATTTTGTTTTTCCTTTGATGTGTCCCCCATCGGACGGATTCCTTCAATTCCTTCCGGTTTGTTTCAAGTTTATTTATTACAAAAATTTTGGTCTTCTATTTATCGATTGAGGCACTACGAAGTCTGCCGGGTCAGCTAGTAATAAATAAATATTTACTAACAATCACGCCACGTTAACTGGTCCCGTGATAAGTTCGTAAAGAACTTGTGTTACAAGTACCAGATAACAGAAATAAATATAAGATTTTATTATACACATACATATATTTAATATACATACATAACCCTGGGAAAGACATTTATATTTATCATACAAATATCTTTCCTTGGCGGGATTCGAACCCGCGACCCCCTTGTGTAGTTACCATGTCACTTACCACTACACCAGAAGGCTTATCCAGACAGACCAGACACTTATATTGTTCGTTTTCTTTTCTTTACTTTTATTCCCTTCGAAAGCACACGAACTGACGATCTATCTGACCCGGTGCATGGTTTCCGATGGTCGTGGTCATCAGTAATGCCATGAATATAGCTGAGTCGCTGATTGCGATTGAGGACCATTTTTGAACCTTGTTTGAAAAAGGTTATGGTCGTAGCGCTCAGACAAACTCACGGAGCGAATTTCATTCAAGAGCTTAGTGGTAGAATCATAAAACCAACTCCGGGAATGGACTGTAGATGAAGGCAGTGTCACTTTCACATTGTCTTTGAGGTTTATAAGCCTGTCGGTCTCTGTCTTACTACACTGTTAAAAATATACATAGTAAAAAAAAAAGTATATTTTAAAGATAACTTACCGAACACTATGTCTAATGTACAAGCGGTTATGTATTTAAGAACATCGAACTCTCCTTTATTTGCTTTTTCGTTAAGTCGTTCGACAAGGATGTCAGCTTGTACGGATATCATTTGTAGATATTGTTCAACAACTTTATTATGGAACACTGGTAATAGTACTTTTCTATGCGATTTCCATAAACAAACTAAAATTAAATATGCTGTGTAATTTATCTAAGAATAGATTGGGTTTCATAGTTATGAATGAGTTAGATATAAGATTTATTTCCTTGTTTTATTTAATATCACTAATGTTAAATTAATTTCCGGAAAAGTGAGAGCTTAAAAGTTACTGAAAGTTACAGAACTAAAATATAGGATGTATATGGAGTAATTTTGTAGAGTAAAATCTGCTAAAATGATAATAATACTATTATGTAATATGAGTGGAACTAATTTCATGAAAACATAATTTTTTTTATTAATAAATGGGAAAGTGTTATTTAAGGGGCGGAAAGGAATATTAGGCACAGTTACTCAAATAACAAAACGAAAATATTTGAATCATATTCTTTGTTAGTTACATTTCGCAAGTTGACAATTGCTTCATTATTACACTTACGTCACTAGTTTGCATTACGTTTAAGTTAATAAAGATATGTTTACCTGGAGCCACGAAAAGGCCATGTCCGAGCCACGGTCGTAAGAACCGATAAACCACGTCTTTGTCAAGGCAATTTTCTAGAACTACTTGTGCGTCCTCTGGGTCGCCTATCGCTGTGATATAATTGTAAAAGTATTTACATTTTTACAGCTAATAAAATGTTTCGTGTCGATTATTTTGTAAGTTCAATTTCTGCGTCATTATTGTGACTTTACTTCATAACTCTTTCCTATTCAATATAGGAATTAAAAAACTAGAAAAGAAGCCTTCAAATTACACAATTCTAAATAAGTAACAAGTGAACAATTTATTTATTTAATACGTATATTTCATTTCTTTTGTAGATTTATCAGCTTATTTGTGCTTAAGCTTTTATTTATTCCTCAGTACTATGTGGACGCATGCACCCTTGTTTGTAATTTCAATGATCCATGTTAATTTATATTCGGTTTATTTTTTGGAATGCATTTTGAATAAATTACGTATGAATAGAACTACTTAATAGTTTTCGAACAGTCGTGACATACGGACGCACGGGCTGAATTAAATTAAAAGGATTACAATTTCTGTTTTAGGTTACAGGAACTATAGGCACAAACCAGCATTTCGTTTGGAAAAGCTATATTCCATCGCTTACTTTTTTTTCGTGTACATACCACCGTTAACATGTCAGTAAATTGTAGCGTTCAAAAATCGTTCTATTTAGTAACCCCTCTTGTCTTCGATATTTGTGGTACGGCATCGTTGCACGGAAAGTTAACATTATCTTGCAAAACTACTTAACGTGGGCGGCGCCGTTTACGTTGTGATGTCTATAAGCTCCAGTGATGATTAAACAAGATTGGCCATGAGCTCTAAAATAAAACACAAACGGCAGCATTTTCACGATCTATCTGTCATGTTATTTTTTGACCTCAGACTTATGAGGTCTGATCTGAATCTTTATCTAACAAAAGAGTAACAGCGTTTTATTTGCGATACGCGCTGCGATAGTTGTTTTGTTTTGCGTATTATTTTAATATTAATTTAATTTTAATGTATTAGTCTACTATACTCACCGACGTATAACTTCGGACCGAGCCATAGTTTTGCGGAGCCTTTGTGTTTAATAGCAATATCAGCGATGTCTTCGAGGCTTTTTAGAATTTCTGTAATAAAACCCTAGTATTATGGTTCAATACTTACACTGGAATTTCTGTATTGTAACTATTCTCTGCAATTTTGAGATAAACACCTTTTTTTTTTAAATCCATTTTTTTCTTTTCGTGGAATACATGGAGCTTATTACAAAAAAAAAAATCCAAAAAAGAACACTCGTTTACTATTTACGTTTTTATCATACTTATTTTGAAGTCGTGCGTGGCAGTCTAGCAGTGATTCTCAACCACTGTTCCGCGGCATTTTTGTGTGCCGCCAAATTTTGCGAATATATAATAATGTTAATATTATTAAATTATATCATTTTAAAAGAAAAATATTTTAAACATGAATATATATTTAACCCCACAAAAAAAATTTATAGTATATTTTAGTTTATTTCGTATATTAAAATTTTTTGATAAACTATTTATGCAGTGTGTTGTAGTAAGTAAATAATTTTTATCTTTTTTTTTTGTGTGCCGCCAAATTTTGAAATCGTTAAATATGTGCCGCAACAAAAAAAAGGTTGAGAATCACTGGTCTAGAGGTTAAGACATCGGACCTACTGTTTGTATCGAGCTATGACTTTTCCTGATCAGATACGTAACTAAGGTCATGACCACGAATAGCTTCCATTTTCAAAAAAATAACATGATATAATTAAAATCTAATCCGCAAAAATTAGGATTTGTGCAATAAATACACAATTGAGACACAGAACTCAAATGTCAAAGTGGATGGCGGAATTCATGTTGTAATATCTATATAAAAACTAAATGATGATATAAGTTTAGTAATATTTTGTATTAGGTATTAGGTTATCCCATGGGTGGCGATCGTACATATCAAATAAAAAATTTAAGCTATTATAAAATAAGTATTTTTTTTACAGCAACCACAGAGCGTAGAAAATATTTGTAATACACTAAGTGCATTTTCAGATATCTATTATTTATTATTCATGTTACACAACGGCTGTGTTAGCTTGGAGATTAGACGTTTGGGTGACTAGAGATTGAGGTAACAGCAAATACGATTTTTTACCAAAACACTTATCAAGAAATTTAACATCACGACGTACATAGTGTTTCTCGGAAAATTTAACAGACAGGGAATTAAAGAAGATTTGCCGAAATACAGTAAATGTATGTTGCTTAAAGATCAAGTAATTTATAAGGATATTTCGTAGTAATAGGCTGGGAAAAAAGTCTTTTCGCATTATAGTATGTATGAACTTGTAATAAAATCTCTTTGGATAAATTATTTGTATCTGGCTGGTTTTGGTATCATTAAAAGTTTAAATATTTAAGAAGATAATTCCAAATTCAAATTAGGAAAATATATGTTTTTTATTTATTTTTCGTACTTTCAAGATGAGTGAATCTAATGAAGAAATTCGATACATTTTAAAATTGTACTACAAAAAAGGAAAAAAGGCAACGCAAGCCGCGAAAAAAATTTGCGATGTTTATGGACCTAGTGCAGTGTCTGTGAGAGTAGCACAAATTTGGTTTAAGTAAGCGTTTTCAGTCCGGAAATTTTGATCTCAAAGATGCACGTCGCTCTGGTCCTACTTACTGGACCCTGGGCCCTATTACGGATAAAATGGATGCCATTTTTGAAAAAGTGGAGCAAGATCGGCATATCAGTAGTTACGACGTAGCTGAAGAACTGGGAATTGACTACAAAACAGTTTTGGCGCATTTGAAAAAAACTGGGTACACAAGAAAGCTCGTTATTTGGGTACCTCACGAGCTCACTGAAAGAAACCTAATGAACCGTGTACTCATTTGTGATTCTTTATTACGACGTAATGAAACCGAACCATTTTTGAAGAAGTTGATAACTGGTGATGAAAAGTGGATCACGTACCACAAGAACGTGCGAAAAAGGTCGTGATCAAGGGTCGGTCAGGCTTCACAGACTGTGGCGAAACCTGGGTTCACTCGCAACGAGGTGATGCTGTGTGTGTGGTCGGACTGGAAGGGCATTATTCATTATGAGCTGTTGCCACCAGGCAGGACCATCGATTCTGAACTCTACTGCGAACAGCTGATGAGATTAAAGCAAGAAGTTGAGAGAAAGCGGCCGGAATTGATCAACAGAAGCGGTGTGGTTTTTCATCATGATAACCTCAAACATCTTTAGCCACTCAGCAAAATTTAAGAAAGCTTGGCTGGGAGGTGTTAATGCATCCGCCATATAGTCCTGACCTTGCACCTTCAGATTTCCATCTGTTTCGGTCTCTTCAGAATTCTTTAGGCAGTGTCAGGTTAATATCACGAGAGGACTGCCAAAACCAATTGTCGCGGTATTTTGATCAGAAGCCCCAAAATTTCTATAGCAATAGGATCATGTCCCTACCTACAAGATGGCAAAAAGTTATCGAACAAAATGGTACCGACATACTTTAGTTAAATGTAAATAAATTATATTAAAATAACGTTGTGAATTTTCTTAAAAAATGCGAAGAAACTTTTTTCCCAACCTATTACATATATTAAAATATTTAAAAACTAGCTTTTGCCCGCGACTCCGTCCGCGTAGAATAGTTACTTTGGCATAACGCTAAATTTTACCGTCACTTCATTTTCGTAGAATGTGAAAATATTTTTGAATTATAGAATGTTAAGGAGCTATTTAAACCCCTATTTTGAAACATTCTTTATTGGTGCTCCACTTGTATTACCGTGATGTTATATAGCCTATAGACTTCCTCAATAAATGGGCTATCAAACACTGAAAGATTTTTTCCAATCAGACCAGGAGTTACTGAGATTAGCGCGAAAAATCCCAAACAGCTAAACCTAGAGTCAATTGGATTGGATATTGACGTGACCGTCAGTAATACAGTGCTTTTTTTTTTTTTAGCCTACCTAACTTGGTAGCCTGGAGCGGCTATTCCAGCGTAACCGTAACTAGTAGGTGAGCTCACGGGGCTCAAACCTGACGACGATGCTAACACGGACCCTAGCAAGAGCCGTGCTTCGCAGAATCTACCACCGGATCGGAAACGCGACCCACTGAGAAGATCCGGCGAGAAACTCAGTGGGCTGTGTCTGAGAGTTAATTTACTCGTCGAGCCCTTCGTCGCAAGCGACGGGTTCGACGAGAACGGTGACCGGTGCTTGAAGTACCTAGAAGCACCGTTAGTGNGATCCGGCGAGAAACTCAGTGGGCTGTGTCTGAGAGTTAATTTACTCGTCGAGCCCTTCGTCGCAAGCGACGGGTTCGACGAGAACGGTGACCGGTGCTTGAAGTACCTAGAAGCACCGTTAGTGGATCGGGAGGATCCGAGATGACGTGTTTTGGGCGACGTCGACTGCTTTCCATTCTGTCCGCAGGATCGGGAATGTAGTTACCGACGGCCACGATGAGAGGGTTCTCGTGTCGTGCCGCTTTATCGAAGTGGCGCATCGACGCCGACTGTAGATACTTACTGATGGACTCTAAGTCCAGGTCGTCATGGAGGTCGACGTTCCTGACGAACCACGGGGCTCCGACAGCTATCCTGCAAAAACGGGATTAAATGATTTGGAAGGATTTTAAGTGAGTGCGGGCCGCGTGAGCGAACACTACACTTGCATAGGTCATGACGGGGCGTATGCAAGTTTTGTAGAGTGTCACCTTATTTCTAAGGGAATACAGTGCAACGGTATTACAGTACTCAGAATTGGAACTTCATTACTGAACCGGTAGATGGCGATGAAGAAGCTAGATTTTGAGATTTTTTGACAAACATTTTTTTAATATTTCGTAAAAAAATATTTTTTTTTCTTAATAAAAAGTATCCTATGTTACTTCTAATACCTCCAAAAATATGTGTATAAAGTTTCATGATGATCGGTTGAGTAGTTTTCGCGTGAAAGCGTAACAATCAAACTTACATTCACATATACCTATTTGAGATTACACTGATATCATTTATAACCAAAATTGAAAATCGCTATATTTGTCGAGCTACTGGCAAATGCATTTTTATGTAAATGAAATGATTATTTCACGACGAAAAAATTTAAGTCGCTAATTAACAGAATATATATATATATACATTTTCATTGCCTAAGCTCAGAGCCCACCTGGTATTAAGTGGGTACTGGAGCCAATAGACATCTAAAACGTAAATCTAATTTATTAGTAAGAACATATAAACAGAGAGAGAAATATATTAAGAACATGTTAAACATAGTACGAAAGCGACAAAGAGCCTTAATCTCAAAATCACAGTCAAATTGATCGAACTACACTTTATGTAATAATCACTAAGATCGGACCACATTAAGTGGAGTCTGTGCTCTCACCTGTCTTCAAAGGTAATAAATATGAGCATACACAATTTAAGCAATCTAGTAATAACAGTAAAATAGGTATATACGTACTTTGTGTGTCTCCAATAAAAAGTGTAGCATTTCCTAGTATTGGTAAAGTTGGTGGTACAGGCAGAGACGCCGTCATTTTATTCATTCTTTTTGATTTGTTTGTCCAATATAACCAGTATAAACTTGCGACAAAAAACAGCAACAGTAGAATTATCATTTTGCCTGGTTCCCTAACATAATTCGAAAAATAAAGTCAGAAAGATTTCTTAATAGGTTTTCGGCAATTGTCGACGAATTGCTCAATGATCAGATTTTTGCTTCAATAAGTGACTCATTTATAGTACTTGAAAATTCAATTAAATGAAATGTACATATATTGTATCGTTTTTTTTTTAAATGAAATAATTAATTTCACGTAAGTTGAGATAGATTGAAAAAGTTATTAGACTTTCGTCAAGCTTATAAATTGAGCACGGCACGCGCAGATGAAAGTAATGAAAACACGTGAAAATTAAACTATTGCAAGCTCATGGTAATTAATTATCGAAAACTCACGATTCTAAGTTTTTAATGAGAATAAATGTGTTTCTTCACTGTCTTTTTTCGTATGTTATTAGACGCCCGATGGGCACGACTTGTAAAGCCCGACTTGTCGATTATGAATTATTCCGTCACGATGGACCAAGCCTACACTGGTCTAGTATTTGCCCAAGTTAAATAATGTACATCGTAATTTTTATTATTTGTAAAATTTATGAAGTCGGCGTTTTTTCATCATTTTGATGTCGCATTTTTTCGGTGTTTTAAAATGATTTTTAACAAATCCAATTTAAATACGGGTTCCAAATCTGTTGAAATCATTAGCTGTATGAGAAACAGCCACAGAAATCCCTTGATTGTCGACAGAATACAGTTTGAAATAAATAAATACTACATAATGTTAAAACACTTGATAACTGTAACTCATATCGTATGCAATAAATAAAGCAAATAAATAAATACAAAAAGGAGAAAACCATAAAATTATAATAATAGTACCTACTCAGTGGGTATTAATTGAGCTACATTACCCATGTATTCCTGAAAATAAGAAGTGAAGCGGTAAAATGCATATTAAGGTTCGTTAATTATATGATCGAATATTTGCTTAAATTAGGAGGTACTGAAATATGCATTAAAAAGAGTAACGCGTAGATCAAGTAACAGCAATTTCAGAGAGAATATTATATACCTAGTCAGGTCATAAATTCTGTCACATGTTTAATGTAAAATAATTGAAACAAGTTTATTCATTATATAACCATTCATATACCAAAATGAACTTAACAAAACATAGATTCTTATGACACTAAAGTTTATTCAAAATGACCTCCGTGATTTTGAATACAGGCCTTCAATCTGCGCGGCCAGTCGTCTATCGCAGCACGAACGAGGTCCATGTCAATATCGGCGGCTGCCTTAATCAAGGATGTCTTGAGTGACTCCAAATTGGGATGAGGCTTTGAGCACGCCTTTTCCTCCAAGTGTTGCCATATCTTGTAATCTAACGGATTCAAATCTGGACTGGAGGAGGGCCAGTCTTCGTGCCGGATGAAGTCGATTTCACGCGCCGCCAGCCAGTCTTGTGTGCTCTTCGCTCTATGAGCTGGCGCCGAATCTTGTTGGAATACCCAGTGCCTGTTATTGAACATGGTATGAGAAACAGGTTCCACAAGGTTCGTCAGGACTGTATTTTGATACACAACTGCATTCGTTTTTACACCTTTCTCACAAAAATGTACCTCTGTTAAGCCCCAATAAGAAACTCCCAACCATACCATGAGCGAGGATGGAAAATGACCTCGTTGGACACGCGGAATACGGTTGCTCGCTTCTTCACTACTGTGTGCGTACACCTTATCATTTTGTTTGTTGTAGCTCTCTTCTACGGTAAAAATTTTTTCATCCGAAAAAAGAATTTCCCGATATTTTTTTCCCGCGTACCGCTTCAACAAAGCGCGGCATCTCTTCAGTCTCAGGTCCATTAGACGAGCATTCAAACGATGTCCTGTTTTTCTTCGATATGCCCGAAGCCCTAAGTCTTCATTTAACACCCTTTTCACCGTGGTTCTGCTTAACCCCATCTGAAGGGTCAACAGTTTCTGCTTACGTTTGGGATTTCTTTGAATTCGCGCCTTCACAGCTTTTATCACTGCTGGAGTCCTAACAGACCGAGGGCGTCCACTTCTTGACCTGTCATCTACACTAGAGTCTTCATTGTATCGTTTGATGGTACGGTAAACGAATTTTTGGTTATATTCAAATTTTTCAGCATGTTAAAAATTTGAATTGGCGCGTAACCGCAACGATGCAACGCAATAACTGCAACACGGTCTTTTTTAAGCGTCCACTCCATATTTAAAAATGAGTAAAATTCTAAAAGTATACATTTTTATTTTCATGAACAATTCGTAATTCAAATTCAATAAACTTTTTTGTGGCCAGCATTCTACTGTGTGACAACAAACTTGCTTTAAAGCAGTTACTAAATGTTTGCACTTTGTAATGTGCAACCCAGACATGTGACGAAGGCTTATTTTTGTTTTCTCTCAGCCAGGTTTTGTAAATGGCATAGGTACCACATGTTTTACCAGTAATCCAGCTTACTTCTGACAAGACTGATAAGTAACAGGAATAGATAGATAAATAATAACATAGTCGAAATATTTTAAATTCCCTACCATTACTAAGTATAAAATCTCACGACTTCGCACATCCAATTGTATCAAAGGTCAAACAAAGGACGAAAGGTGTCAAAGCCGCTGCCTACCTCTGAGGACTCCATTTAAATCTGAATTGATGAAAGACATAATGATGAAGCTTTTTTATCGAGATTTATGGGTGGGTGGACGACGGGGGTGCCACACCACCGAACATCCCCCGGTGTGACAGTTCCCTGCCGGAGATCTGCTTTACACAGTGTGCAGTCAGGCGGGAACTCCGACTCTTGGACGTCCATAAGTCGAGTGGGCCGGACGGCATCCCTGCTGTGGTTCTGAAAAGGTGCGCCCCTGAGCTGACGCCTGCGCTAACGCGTTTGTATCGCCTCTCTTATTGCACTAACAGGGTTCCGTCTTCATGGAAGAACGCCCACGTCCACCCTATCCCCAAGAAGGGTGACCGATCGGACCCATCGAGCTATAGGCCTATCGCGATAACTTCCTTGCTTTCCAAGGTGATGGAGCGAATTATAAATATACAACTCCTGAAGTATCTTGAAGATCGCCAGCTGATCAGTGACCGACAGTACGGTTTCCGTCACGGTCGCTCAGCTGGCGATCTTCTTGTATACCTTACTCACAGGTGGGCTGAAGCCTTGGAGAGCAAGGGCGAGGCTCTTGCTGTGAGCCTTGATATCGCGAAGGCCTTCGACAGGGTCTGGCATAGGGCACTTCTGTCGAAGCTACCATCTTACGGAATCCCCGAGGGTCTCTGCAAGTGGATCGCTAGCTTTTTGGATGGGCGGAGCATCACGGTCGTTGTAGACGGTGACTGTTCTGATACCATGACCATTAACGCTGGCGTTCCACAAGGTTCGGTGCTCTCCCCCACGCTTTTCATCCTGTATATCAATGACATGCTGTCTATTGATGGCATGCATTGCTATGCGGATGACAGCACGGGGGATGCGCGATATATCGGCCATCAGAGTCTCTCTCGGAGCGTGGTGCAAGAGAGACGATCAAAACTTGTGTCTGAAGTGGAGAACTCTCTGGGGCGAGTCTCCAAATGGGGTGAATTGAACTTGGTTCAATTCAACCCGTTAAAGACACAAGTTTGCGCGTTCACTGCGAAGAAGGACCCCTTTGTCATGGCGCCGCAATTCCAAGGAGTATCCCTGCAACCTTCCGAGAGTATTGGGATACTTGGGGTCGACATTTCGAGCGATGTCCAGTTTCGGAGTCATTTGGAAGGCAAAGCCAAGTTGGCGTCCAAAATGCTGGGAGTCCTCAACAGAGCGAAGCGGTACTTCACGCCTGGACAAAGACTTTTGCTTTATAAAGCACAAGTCCGGCCTCGCGTGGAGTACTGCTCCCATCTCTGGGCCGGGGCTCCCAAATACCAGCTTCTTCCATTTGACTCCATACAGAGGAGGGCCGTTCGGATTGTCGATAATCCCGGTCTCACGGATCGTTTGGAACCTCTGGGTCTGCGGAGGGACTTCGGTTCTCTCTGTATTTTATACCGTATGTTCCATGGGGAGTGCTCTGAGGAATTGTTCGAGATGATACCGGCATCTCGTTTTTACCATCGCACCGCCCGCCATCGGAGTAGAGTTCATCCGTACTACCTGGAGCCACTGCGGTCATCCACAGTGCGTTTCCAGATATCTTTTTTGCCACGTACCATCCGGCTATGGAATGAGCTCCCCTCCACGGTGTTTCCCGAGCGCTATGACATGTCCTTCTTCAAACGAGGCTTGTGGAGAGTATTAAGCGGTAGGCAGCGGCTTGGCTCTGCCCCTGGCATTGCTGAAGTCCATGGGCAACGGTAACCACTCACCATCAGGTGGGCCGTATGCTCGTCTGCCTACAAGGGCAATAAAAAAAAAAAAAACATAGATGTGTGTGTAGTATTAGGTATAGGTATGTATTTTAAAAGGAAAAACTTTAATATTTTTTATTTGCTAAACCCTATCATAATGGCTGTAACAACTCAATAAATAATTATTAAAATTATGTACGTAATTATGATTTTTTTTATATGCTGTGCTTTTTATAACGTCACATGGATGTTAATGTGGCAAGGTACCCGCGCAATTGCACATTTTATTATAACTATAAGCTACTTGCGAGATTTGAACTAAAGCACAGTCCTATCGCTCAATACGAATACAATTATTCCTAATCAAGTGTTATATTTTAATACCCTACAACAAAATATCGTCATTTAAAAGCTCACCTACTTACGCCAAATGTTCGAAAATCAGTATTTGAATAATATTCAGCATTTATTACGAACTACTATTATTTTTCTTAAATTATTTATTATTATGCACATAATAATGACAGTATATTTAGATTTCTCAAAATTAATCTTCTGAAAAGTTATAGTTAAGAAGAATGTTAAACTCTTCGTCGATTACGACAAATAGTTCGACAAGGACGATGATCGGTAAACAAGTTTATTTCGGTGTGGAGGGTACGTTGCGCAAAGGATCTCTAGAAATGCCCTGTGAATGAGCACAGTGTTCAGTAGGAATGAACCATAGTGTCATTCATGGTTTTTCTCTATACTGAATTTGCTTTGAAATAGTGTAAAATCAAACACTGCTGCTAATGGAACCTTCAACTTCAATGTAGTTTTAAAAAAACCCAAAAAGTAATTTTCGTTGATTTTATTTGAATGTACTGTGACTTGAATGGAGTTATAATAAGTTGATACAAGTTTGAATTTAAAAACGGTAACAAAATAAAACTATTTAGTACATGTTTTCTAACAGTCTAGCCAAAACATCTGAAGTACATTTTTTTAGGATTTAGATAATCTATGGTCGTTTCATCGAAATGAATTAGTACCTACCTATCTGATATTGGCAACCCTGTTTCAAAATGGCTGTTTGCTTGGTAGCGTTTTAATGAGGTTATTGTATGTAATGAAATTTGTTTTCTGTTTGTTTATATACATAAAAAAATCCTGACAATAATTTCAAAGTGTGTATCGTGCTGCTGTGAAGAAACAATCGACAATGTTATAGTATATAAATCAAGATAAGGTAAGTTATTAACAGTGGTTGACTTGAATCGTGTTAAGTTTTCGAAATGGGTATAGCAAATTGCAACGCGTTGTATTTGGGTTTAGTAACTGCAATTGTAATATTTACAATGTTTCTCTAACTAGGTATCCAAGTAATAAAACATGGATTTCGGACATCCTCACCAGAACATGGGTATGCCCCCGCCGGGCATGGGTATGATGGGTCCACCCATGGGCCCGCCACCGGGGCGGAACAACATTCGCCATAACTTTAGACCTTTCAACTACCAGATGCGATTTCCACCACAGGGCCCTCTTAATATGACACAAGATGATTTCGACGGTAAACGTTTGCGTAAATCAGTAATGCGTAAAACTGTAGATTATAACGCGGCTATTATAAAAGCATTAGAATGCCGCGTTTGGCAAAGAGACTGGCGCGATAGACATGCGCTTCAACCGGACGCTATGTACACCCCTGACCTTTTACCTCCTCCTTCATATCCTGATAATCCAATAAATGCCGTTACAACACGTTTTGTTAAAACAGCCACTAATAAAATGAGATGTCCTATCTTTGCTGTAGCATGGACTCCTGAAGGTAGAAGATTAATAACAGGTGCTTCCTCAGGAGAATTTACACTATGGAATGGATTAACATTTAACTTTGAAACCATTCTCCAAGCTCATGACTCACCAGTAAGATCAATGGTTTGGTCACATGGAGAAGGCTGGATGGTAACTGGAGACCATTCAGGATTTATAAAATACTGGCAGAGTAATATGAATAATGTTAAAATGTATCAAGCTCATAAAGAAGCTGTAAGAGGAATCAGTTTCAGCCCTAGTGATTCTAAGATAGTAACATGTTCAGATGATGGTACGCTCAGGATATTTGATTTCTATAGATGTCAAGAAGAAAGAATATTGAGAGGTCATGGTGCCGATGTGAAATGTGTTCAATGGCATCCAACTAAAGCACTTATTGTATCAGGCAGTAAAGACAACCAACAGCCTATTAAATTATGGGATCCAAAATCAGGGACAGCATTGTCAACTCTTCATGCTCATAAATCTACAGTAATGGACTTAAAGTGGAATGATAATGGTAACTGGCTAATAACTGCATCCCGTGATCATTTACTTAAATTATTTGACATACGTAAGCTAGGGTCTGAACTGCAAATTTTTAGAGGACACAAAAAGGAAGCTTCCAGTGTGGCATGGCATCCACATCATGAAGGCTTATTTTGTTCTGGGGGATCTGATGGAGCTATTTTATTTTGGAATGTAGGTACTGATAAAGAAGTCGGTTGTATTGAAGGAGCACATGAATCTATTGTCTGGACAATGGCTTGGCATCCACTGGGTCATATATTGTGCTCAGGTTCAAATGACCATACTTCTAAATTTTGGACTCGGAACCGTCCAGGTGACCTTATGAGAGACAAATATAATTTGAATACCTTACCTCCCGGAGTTCAAGATGATCAAGACTTGGAAGAACCTACTACAATTCCTGGTATGGGACCTGAAGATAAAGTAGAAATATTTTCCTCTGATACAGATAAAGTTATTCCTGGGTTAGATTTAGATACTACATTTGTTCCTATGGAATTTGAGAAGAAAGTTAAAAAAGTTCCATATAGTAAACCTATTCCTCGAAACTTCCAAGCCCAATGGAATCATGCCCCTAGTGCTGAAGAATCTTCTACAGAAGTCCTGAGCCAGGCTCTAGTTGAATCAGTCCCAGGCTCCATACCACTTGAACACATCAATCCATCCGCCATATTCATTTATGGAAAATTAATTGGAGTAGAACCTGGGTCTAAACTTGAGAAAGCAATAACCGAAGGACATGTTTCTCTTAGAAAATATATAGCTAGTGGGGAACTAGAAGAGTTGCATGATGTTATGCCTCATTTAGAAGATGATGCCGATGAAGAAAACTTTCAACCATTTGAATACCCTGACCAAAATGAAAATGAAAATGGTGATGAAGATGAACAAAATAACAAAGAAGATTATGAACGAGATGAAGAATACTATGATAATGATATGGATAAAAATGGAACCCATGATTCAGAAAAAACTGCAAAATATAATAATGGCCCAGATATGTCTAACATGCAACAGGTGACTAATATGCCACTAGTTATGAATAACATGATGAGACCCCCTATGGGTATGGGACCAATTAGACCCCCTATGAGACCACCCCTTGGTTCTATGCACATGCCTCCTCCACACATGTCAGGCATGCCACCCATGGGTGCTATGCCACCCTTAGGAAATATGCCTCCAATGGGAAATTTGCCACCAAGAGGTAGTATGCCACCAATGGGAAATATGCCTCCAATGGGAAATATGCCCCCAATGGGAAATATGCCCCCAATGGGTAACATGCCACCAATGGGAGTCATGCCACCCTTGGGAAACTTGCCACCACGGTCTTCCTTTAATGACAATGGTTACAATAAATCTCAGTTTGATTCTAATTATGAAAATCAGCAATATTCACAAAATGATGAAGAATATAATGAGGAAGAATCTTATGATCAAAATTATGAAGAAGAAAGTAATTACAATGAAGACGAGAAAGGTGATGAAGGATTTTCTAGAAATCAGCGATGGGAGCATGGTTATAGGGGAAGGACTCGTGTTAGAGGTAGAGGTATGAATGGTTATGGAGGACGTGGTAATCGACGCGGCAACAATGGCTCCAGAGGATCACCACGAAATCGACGAGGTGGTGGTCATAACAGAAACTTTAGACGAGGCAGTAAATCCGTTTCAAATTAGTTAATAAAATATTTGTAATTTTCGGTACCTTCTCAAATGAATAATTTCGCTCCTGTAAGTGAAGTGTCAAGTTGTGTATGCGAGTAAGACAATTTTATAGTGACTGAAAATGGTTGTACATAATTTTTATTTACAGCTTGTATCTTAATTTCATAAGCTGAAAACTTAATAAATCTACGTTACAAATTTTTTTTTTAAAGTTTATACAGGTATATAAATATTCTTTGTTGTGGCTGTAATTGGTGAGTTTATCTTTTCTATTAAGTTGATTTAAAAAAGTTCTACTACTTAAATAAATCTTTCTATGATATCAGGTAATTAAAATTGTGAAAAATTGAGAAGACCACACAGACATTTGAAGATTGCCTCCAGTATTTCAAGATAGTGTGCAGTCTTGTAATGCAGTAATCATCCGTTCAACTCCAGCAACTTTATAGTAAGAGACTGGTATTTATTGAATTTGTTTTGTCAATAATATATGATTTTTTCTGAAATAAAGTTAACAATGTACCGAACATTTTGTAAATGTGGTTAAATTTTTATTAAAAATAAAATAAAAATTTATGGAACCAATAAAACTGTCCAAGGGTTATCCTACCCTGATATCCTTAAATTATCAGTGTATTCAGTAATGCATTTTACTCTAGGCTATACTTGATTGAAACATTTCTATTTGTCATCACGAGAACGCCATTTCGTTGACAAATAATTGATTGGTCTATACAATTTTCTTCACTATTCGTTTTTTCTGAAGTTTTTGTTCCTTACATTTTTTTTAGCTCTCCCATCCATATTTTGCATTATAGTTTCTGATTGGTTTTTAACAGAAATCAAGTTGTGGTTGTTTTATTGAATGAATTACAGAAATTCCTGTACCTCAAGATCCACTAGGGAAATGCTTTGAGAAATCATTTGGAATCATATCAGCATCTTCATTTTTCCACCATAATATTCTTCATTTATGGGAACACCCATTTTTGATAAAAAAAAACATTAAGGTTGTTGTGTTTCTAGAGATTTTTTTTCCAGTCCCAACAAATATTGCGTTTAAGCAGCAGGGCTGTGTCCTTCTTAAATAAGTTTAGAAAAAGGGTTTCAGTAGAACAAAATCGCTTTATTGTACCAGAGGCATCAACAACATCGACCTAGTGGTTGATGGATGTACCTCAAATATTCCCATTGTGATCGAAAAACTATAATCTGTTCAACACTTCTCTTGCGGTTTTTACTTTCATGATTAACAAGTTTGTTTAGGAACTATATATGAGAAATTAATTACAGTTGTTTAGTTAGTACAAGATTATTTTAATGTGTAAGTTTTAAGTTATTCTGGTGAGATGTATGACGATGAGAGCACTGTAGTGTTAGTTGTATAATTGCAAAACATTCACTGCTTTTTAGTACTGTTTTATATATATTTTTTTAAAACAAAAATGTGTTCATTATTTAGTTTTATAAAATAAATTACAGTGAGTTCTTTATTTCACCACATCCTCTTCAACACGACATTAATAATAACAATAATAAACGCTTAGTGTTTACTTATAGGGTCTGATCAATTTTCAGTTTAGAGCTGCATTCGTTGATGTTAAGTTGAATATTTATGTCGTTATTCAATCATGAATATTTGGAAGGCGCTAAAAATAACATAATGATTGGATAAAAGTGAATATTGAATCTGATATTTACAAAAATGATTATTCTGATTGAATGAAGGGTTAATTCTTATTTTGAATATTGAGTTTCGTAACGTTATGCTGATATGTTATATCTAGAATGCACTGATCATACCCTTCATCACTGCTTGCCCTCAACCCTTGGACTGTCATCGATGCGTTAATTATAATAAAATTGAGGAATACGTTATTAAGGATCCTAAAATTTTGTGGATATAATAAATTTTTGAAATTTCTAAGGGTTTCATTTAATATCGCCCTCAACCTTGAATAAAGGAAAGTTGGGAATAAAATTGTAGTTTCAATTGTTTTTAATTTTGGTTTTGCCCCGATCGTAATTAATAAATTGCAATAGTCAAAACCCTCTCTTTTTGTTCCAGATGATCTTGACGTGGACGCGGTGGCTGCTCGTCTTGTCATCATGTCGCGGGAGTCATTTCGATTCTGGCAGCGACAAAAACTTATTAGTGGACTTAAAGGAAAACGTCACCGTTCACCTTGAAGCGATTAACGGGACCCCAATTTACAGATTAATAAAACCAGACGAAAGTACACAATGGTTTCCGGAACGAGAAACGAAAATGAATAGTTGTGTGATGAGGGCCCGCTGTGAACCGCTTTTTAATTCCACGTGCCTCGGGTCGATACTTCCATATAGTAAAACAAGCGTGCACTTGACGTTCTACAATAGTCAGCGGCAAATACAGAACCAACTAGAGTTTTATAAAAATTTAATCAATGTACCCAATTGTTGGGCCGTTATCCAACCCTTGCTTTGTGCGACTTTCATGCCGAAATGTGAGAAAATATTAGACCACGATATGGTATATATGCCTTCGTTCGAGATGTGCAAAATAACAATGGAACCGTGCGCTATCCTCTATAACACTTCATATTTTCCTTCTTTTCTCAAATGCAACACAACATTGTTTCCGCCGAATTGTGATAATGCCATGAGAGAGGTTAAATTTAATACAACCGGAAAATGTTTACCGCCCCTAATACACACGGACAAGTCCTTGCGCGTCTACGAAGGTACTAGAAATTTCTAATAAAATATCGATAATGCTTTGAAACATCCATCACAAACATAAGTTTTTTTCTTTTGTATTTCTGTAGGTATTACCGGTTGCGGGTTGCCGTGTCGTGACCCGTTGTACACTGAAGATGAACACCAACAAATACATAAACTGGTAGCCTGGGGCGCCGGTGTGTGTCTGGCCCTAAACCTGCTGACCGTAGCCACGTTCCTCATAGACTGGCGGAGTGCTAACAAATATCCCGCATTAGTTATATTTTATATCAACGTGTGCTTCGCTGTTGCATCAATGGGGTGAGTGGAATAGGACTACATCATAATCCAGTTTTTTCACATCAAGTAGTCATTGGTTTAAAGGTCCGGCTATTCGCAGATCGACTTTATTAAGTTTTGTTTGTTTTACGTATGGGTGAGTGGGATCATACGAGCCACCAAATTTCGTGCAAGTCAGTCGTCACTTGGGTTCTCGCCTCGATGACTGAACGTGTAAAATTTAGCAGGCGACCACTTTGGTACATTTGGTCTGATTCGTTACCAGGCCATAACATGTTAAAAAATAAAATATTTTTTTTTAACTGTTACGCCGGCGATCGTCTTGTTTGGATCCTTGTAGGCTTTAGAGTTAAGAGGTATATTCGAGTCTTCGGCAATCCACTGTATTGGCTGTACGCTGTACCATTCATGTATATTTCTAGATGGGTAATAGAATCCTGTAGTGATTTTATTTCTGTTGGACATTCCTCAATGCTGCTGCAGTGATCTTTTTAAAAAAATAAAGTTCCATTAGTTGCTGACAGATACGAAAATTTGTGAAACATTCTTGTGAAACCTTGCAGGCCGATATATTTGAGTTTGAAAGTCTTTCCTTCTGGATCCTTCTTATTCTGAGCATGTTGAAAAATTTTGTTCTGAGTGAAATTTAGTTCACCAGAGTCAGTTATGCGTTCTTGATGTCGCTGATTTGTTTTTATCTAAGACTGCTATGTCAAAGATGGTGAATAAACGTGGAGTCCTCTGAGAAGTCTTTTAATTTATCGATATTTATTTCTTTTTCTTTCAAATAACAAAACTTTCTGTTTCAGTTGGCTTGTTCAATTCGGTGTCGGCTCAAGAGACGATATAGTTTGCTCGAAAGATGGCACTAGACGACAAGGGGAGCCATCGGCCGAAGAAAATTTATTTTGCGTTGTCGTATTCGTTTTGGTAAATATAAACAATGTTTTGCTTTAATGAAAATTTCTCGTCTAATTTTTGTACTGGCACTTGACTTGACACCACACGTGATTCTCTCGTGGAACAGGTTCAAGTCTGGGCACGTAGCGTGTGTACATGCATTTCATCTTTTGACATAATTATATGCTTAATGGGAAGCTTGTTCTCGGGTATTCGCAGCTGGTAACTAATTAACTAACAGCTTTCTTTCGGAACAGAAAAATCGAGGAGTTTATTCCAGAACCACATGGAAGGCACTGAAAATGATCTCATAAAAAACTTAAAGACAGCGACTACAATTAGTAGATGTTATAGTTTGACAGACCAGAGGCCCTAAACGGCTTATAGACAATTCGAAGTGATTAAAACGACCCCTTAAATATTTCATCGAATAGCTGAACACACTACACGCCACAGTTGAGACTTCGATCTCATGTGTCTAGTTGGATAGGGCAGCATTCATATTGTTTTACGTAACGATGACGACTCATACGAGAGGTCGCCTACTCATTTATAGTTAAACTGGCTTTTGCCCGCGACTCCGTCCGCGTGGAATAGTAACTTGAGCATAACGCTAAATTTTACCCCCACTTCATTTACGTAGAAAGTCAAAATTCTTTTGAATTATAGAATGTTAAGGAGCTATTTAAACCACTATTTTGAAACTCTTTATTGGTGCTCCACTTATATTGGCCTTAGCTTGATGTTATATAGCATATAGCCGTCCTCAAAAAATGGGTTGTCTAACACTGAAAGAATTTTTCAAATCGGACCACTAGTTTTTGAGATTTGCGCGTTCAAACAAATAAACTCTTTAGCTTTATAATATTAGTATAGATATAGATACCCAATTTTACTGTTGAATACAGAAATTATCTCTTTCAGGTGTATTATTTTATGATGGCAGCCTGCGTCTGGTTCGTTATATTCACGTACGCTTGGCACATGTGTAGTTTTCGAGCTCTGGGTGAGTGAATTTTTGGATTAAAATTCTAATTTAATTTATAATTTAAAATAATTTTCTTTTATTTTTCATAATCAACTTCAGTTTCGGACAGAATTAAGTAGCTTCGAGGTGAGAATTACAAATTACTCAAAATATTAGTAGTAAAGGGATTGATAATTCTAATAAAAATGTAAACTAATTTTTACACAGTAGATTAAATGTGGTGTTTTAGATTCATTAGCCTTCTAGTAAAGTAGGTATTGTAGATATTCTGTAGGCAATCAACAATTTTACTGAAAAGTAATTGTGAAATTTTCATAAATTCACTGTTGCATTCTTAAAAATGTTGTTGAAATACCTTTAGATCATCTAACTAGATGTCAACTTTTGAAATATTCTAGATTCCCAAAATACCACCACCATGCTACTTTTCACCACTATGCATTCAAAATAAAACAAAAGTCTATCATTCCTTAGCTGTCTATCGTACTTCATTAATATGAATTAAACAATAAGTATTTCACTAAGTTTAACATAAATTAATAATGGCAATGTAA